CGTTTAGTTATGTCAAAATTACTTCTGTCCAAAATGCAAATTCGAAATTAAAAAAATTTAGATTTATTGAAATTAAGACCAGAAAAGGTAATGTTAGTTTTTTATTAATGATAGTTTCTGTCGCTCTAAATTTTTCGATAACGATGAAAAATGATTTCTCTTCCAATCTCAATGATAAATTTCATTCTAATAGGAATTATTTCTTGTACAATTCAACTTTGACATTTTATTGTTTTAAGAAATACCGATTATTCATATTTTCTGTTATAAGTATTGATTTCCTCTTAATTATAGGTGCAGAATGAGTAATTAGTCATATTTTTGAGATTTATTAATGAATTTGCAATCATTTCGAAGTTTTGTCCATAAGTTAGCACCTAAATATATATAATATTGATAACTGATGTTAATTAATTGGACAAAATTTTGAAATAATTGCAAAATTTTCAATAATCCGTCAATTTTGGGCTAAACATTTGCAAAAAGCAAAATTAAAACTAACTTTTTTTCTTTTCTGCTTAAAATCTAAAATGTGAGGAAAAAGGAAGATGAAAATTCATTTAATCTCAAATAATCTTTAACAAGAAGTGGTCTATTTGCATATCATAATATTACTGTCAAATCTGAAATATCATTTTTAACAGCTACAAAAAAACGAAAAAATCGATCTCGACACTCGCTGTTTTTTACCATTCAATAATTATGATATTGTTTATTTACTTTCTATCTGTTTGTTTTTTTCTCATTTTTTTCCTCATTCATTGTATTTGTTGCCAATTCGTTATGTTAATTCGAAAAAATAATTGCATTATTTAAAATTTTCAAATTCGAAATATTTTTTATGAAACCATCGTTATTCTTTTTTCCTAATTTTGCTAACAGTTATTTTATTGATGATACAATAGAAATGAATGGATAAATTTAATCGGTCTTGACAGATTTCAGCTTACTGACAATGTCATATTTCAATAAAAACGATAAACATGAGACATAAAATGAAATATTAAATTGAGCTATCGTATCACATATCACAAAGTTATTAAAAAGAGAGGAAAAAGTAATCAGCTAAAGTTAATAAATTTACAACAATCATTGATTTAAAAAGTAAAATTTTTTATAATTTCTACACGCAATGGTGAAAAATATAATTTCATTTATTTATGAAATAGTTTAAAACAAGGAAAGAGGTGCTTCTCTCTGGAATGCAGGAAGTAATAACCCCACTGTCCACGTTTTAATCTTATCTATTAAAATCCCCGTCGATCATGGGATTATATTACGGAAATTCACACAACACCGTCTTTCTCTTTGCTCTTTCCTTCATGATTAACAGAAATAAAACCTTCGCAGCGGGCAGGATTCGAACCTGCGCGGGCAGAGCCCATTTGATTTCGAGTCAAACTCCTTAACCACTCGGACACCACTGCACAGAGTAGTACACCCCCTCAGGGTTCGATTAAAGTTCAGATTCAGTTTCTTTGCAAAAATTAACGAACATGTAATTCATTTCCGATATATTCTAGTTCAAAATTCTATTATTTTTCTTTTCGGAACTGGAAAAAAACAATCAAAGGTACTGAAAGTAATCGAAATGCAGAGTAACATGAAGGCTTGGAAATGTTAAAAAATCAAAATTGATCAAAAGTAACGGACAATGCATCATAACATTTTGATCTTTCAATCAATTTTTATTTTTAGCGAGTAGTTTATAAGATCAAAAAATGTTGCAAATTCTGATCAAATCCATCAATTATGAAAGTATACCTCAATATTTTGACTAACTTTCAATTTGAAGATTGTAATCCTTTTACAATAATTCGAATCACTCGGAAAAAGAATCAGAAAACGACTGGTAAGTTTATTTGAAATCTATTCAACTTTAAATCTCTCTTCCCTTAGAAGAGAGTAGGTGTTAAAATCCTGTAGTGAAAGAGTCTTCCGTGAGAAAACCACGAAACAAACAATTGCTTTTCTGTATCATGCAATAAAACCTACAAGGCGCAACGGGCAGGATTCGAACCTACGCGGGCAGAGCCCATTTGATTTCTAATCAAACTCCTTAACCACTCGGACACCGCTGCACTCCGGAACATTAGCTTTCCTACAGAAAGTTTTATATTCCATTAATTTTTGTGATTTTTTAATATTTTTTGACTTGACATTTTTGAAAATTTCATAAAATAGTTCAAATATTTCTGTCAGATTTGTCGAGACAATGCATTAGTAGTTTGATTAGTTGAAATTGCAGCAGTATATAGATGAGAAGAAATTTTAATTAAAAAAAAGTTGTCAAAATATAAAAAGATTCATAATTAACAGTTTTTTAGGATTATCTACAATGCAGATGAAATTTCTTTTAGTAAAGCAACTATGGGACGAAACGTCTTCAATCCCTTTTAAAACTTTCAATAAGTAAATATCTCGCTTGCTTAAATAATGAATTAAATATGTGTGTCAAATGGCCATTAATAGTAATCAGCTGTTAAATTAAAATAAAATTGTTTCTGTAAGCGTCATCCATTTTCAAGATTAGATGACATTCATTTAGCCTTCAAATCTATTTTCATATCCAAGATAATTTCAGAACCATTTTATGATGAATAATTATCACTTCGTATTTTCATAATTTAAAATAAAAATTATCACAATTAAACTTTCACAATAATTCTCACACGCTTCTGAAATAATCTGGCATAAATTTTGATGCATGTCTCATTTCAAACTTATGTAAAAATTCATTTATGGTACGCTTATTTAATGAAGGAAAATTGTCTGACGTATTGATAGCAAATCGATGGATCACTTTTTTGATGCATTTTACGGAGTTGAAATTACTAAGTGATTCATGGACACATCGATGCAACTAACAGTAATTGTGATGGCTGAATCCAACGAACCATTTCCCAGTACTTCAGTTTCATCCTTTACAGCAAGCAATAAATTGAAATCGCCAGTTCGAAATCAAACTGCGATGTTTGTAGCAACAAGGGAAGAGATTTTGCCAAGTATGTTGAGAAGCCTCAAGAAGGGAACTTACAATAATTCATGTTTGCAATATCTCCGAAGATAGCATCCTCCGAGGTCCTTCTGAGAGGTTTTCTCGCCACGCAAACAATGCTCATCGATGAAATGAGAATAATTATTGACAGTGACATGTAATTAACAACAGCAACTCTAACTACTTCAAGCTTACAAAATTTTTTTGAAATGAGCTGTCTTTTTCACTTCAGCTCAGTTCATGGAACCACTTTAATGCAATCCTCGCACGCCATGTTAGATGATCTGGAACGTCATATACTCGATGAGGAAAACATCTCAAATGTCACAACCATATTATATAGTATGCGTTATATTACCGGAAGAAATGACTAATTTCGGGATTAACTTTTATCACATTTCAGTTGGAAGTTTCTGATGCACTTCCTACCAAATACACCATCCAAAACTTCGTAAAAGACCACTAAACTATTACAGCAGTTGTGTTAAAACAAAAATGAAAACTGTTACAAATACTTCTTTTCCAAGTTTGTTTATTGTCATCATTGTTATTGCAGTCGCTTAATCGGAATAAATGTTATAATTAATCAGTGTGTAATCAGAAACAGCCTTTGATTCATGAACCGTATGTCAAGAAAGATGAAAAGAAAATTGAAAAATCTCTAATTAATATAATTGGGATCTCTCATTCATTACAACAAAGTATGAAAGCAATCGAAAAACAGATGGAATTTGTCCGTTTCCATGGAGGAAAAATAAATAAACGACAAGATTTTATGTAAATTGCTGAATACGCTCATTTAAAAGTCATCTAACAATCACAGGAATAAGACTAAAATAACTGCACCACAATCTTTCAGCATCAACGGGCATTTCAATATTCTCTGTGTCCTCCAAGCGTCCCCCAAAACATATTTCTCTAATTTAGTTTGCTTACCCAATTGTTTCTATAATTCGAACTCTCCAATAGTAACTTCCGAGCACAAAAAAAGAAACCTGTATGTTGAGTTATTCAAACACTGCTACATCCATATTATCCTTGATTGCAAACCTCATTATTTCAAAAAATCCACATTTTACGAATATATGATGAAGTCATGGGAAAAGCATACGAAAGCTGTGAAAAATTCTATCCGAACTGCAAAAAATATGTCAAAAGCTACTGAGTCATCGTACTTATTGGTATATTTTTGAAAAATTCTCTAATCATTCATTTTTCTTATATTTACAACTTTAATTACATTAAGCATTCATAGCAAACATATGGGCAGCATTCTGGCTCAGCAATAAATTCTACCAAACTTATATAAAGCTGTTGCATATAGATTTCGAAGTTAAAGAAAATTTGAGAGGTCAAATCTTGAGAATTACGATGATATGTCGGGTAAAATATTTTGTTACGCTCATTCCCTTATAATTTTAATAAATTTTTGAATAGAAAAATTGACTTCCATAAATCTGTGTTAGGAAATAGCCATAATCTTAAATATTCTTTTTAACTAAACCCACTTTTTTCTCAAAACGATAATTCAAGCAGTTCCGGGACAGTAACTCTCCAGCTAACGGTAGGCAAAACTCAGATCTAACACTATTTTTGCATTAAAAAAAGTTGCAATAAGTTCTCTGCTATTTATAATTCAAATATAACTTCAAAATCTTGCTATTGAAAATTTTTTCAAATTTCACTATGTAGCAAACAACCAATTTATAGAATGTAAAAGTGAGAGTGTATATCAAGGATGGACGAGGCAATAATGATTGACAGAACATTATCAATCTATTTTTACAAAGAAATGATCTGTTTTAGACACTATACAATACCGACGGAAGTATTACATCTCCAAAAAAAAAAAAAAAATTACAACATTTCAAAAAGGAAGCAAATAATAATCAAATAATGCAAAATAAGTTAGAAATACCTGACATCTTAATTTTACGTTTTCTAACTTCAATTTCCGAACAAAATTCGCACATATAAGAATGAAACATACTATCACAAATTTAAAGAATTTTACTATAAAAATTTCCAAAATTACTGCCACTATTTCAATATCCCAACAGATAATAATAAAAATAAATCAGAAACTGCAGCACAATAGAGCCCATTTGTACTACAGTAATAATAAAGCATGGTGTTGAGAAGAAAGTGAAATCGAAAGTTGGACGATCATTTGATTAATTTAAAATTAAAAAAAAACTCCATAAAGCAAAAACTTAAATGACAACCTGTAATCATATGAAAATGGTCAACCCAACTCTTCATATTCTCAGATCAGATATAATCACGAAAACTAAATAAACCAAACCCTAAAGGGTTCAAAATTTATGTTGAAAGCACAATCAATGAATGAGGGAGCTCGCTGCGCTAATTATATGTAAATAAAAGATGATGAATGATACACATCAAAAACGATTGCAACTGGTTATTATAGACCAGTTGAGCACTTACGAAAACCCTCCAAATAATAATCCTTTGTGAATTTTGATGATTGGAATTTGTACATCAACATAAAAAGGTATTGGATTGATAAATGAAATACAAAATATATAAACGAAAAGGACCTGCTTTTTCATTCAAACTATAAGAAAAAATCAGGAAAAGTCTAGCAGTAATCAAACAAGCCTATTTGGATGAAAAATATATGAAATAAGAAAAAATATATGAAGTTATATAATGCCATTAAAAAATCAGTCCAGTCAAAACAGCAATAATTATTTAGGAAATGACATAATGTTATCAGCTTGCAATAAGGGAGTAAAAGCATTGAAATTAGAAAGCTCAAATTAATAATTAACAATTTTTATTGCATAAAAAATGTTAAAAATCGGATAATATGCTACGCTGATTCCATAAATTATTTGCAAACTCTTTGCGATCGCTATGAAGCTAATGCTTAAAACCACGGACTTATCTTTAGAATGAAATGAGCTTAACATCTCTAGGGGTAAAACCAGCTGGTAATTCAATAAAAACTAATAAAGAAAGAAAATTTTGGGCTAATCACAAATTGCCGAAATCAAAAGAATTTTAAGGAAGAAATTGGACCAAAACAAAAGATCGACCAAATTGGGAATCATAATGTAAAGCAGAGGGAAGATGTAGAGGATATTTTGATTGGTTAGACGAATATCTTCCCAATCACTAAAAAGCATTATCCTAACAAACAAATATGATGAATCACGTTGAAAAATAACAATATAACAAATTACTTCCAACAAAATATTAAGCTGATCCCCTCACTATCAACCGAATATATTAAAATAAAACAATTGGTGCAAAAGATAATTGGAAGTGAAACGACGAATCTCTCTTTAAACGAATGTCCTTCCTAGATCAATTAGCTGTCAGGATTTACTTTTCGATGTTCAATTAATCTTCGTACCTGAAAAAAAAAACCGTTTATTTAAAGATTATCAAATTCATCTGCTATTAATTATAATTTCGAAAACATCTAATTAAAAAATAATCCACCATATTAAATAGGAAAAAATATTTTGTCTCGTTTTTTTACTTCATGTCTCCGTCTCCATATTAGCTTTTTAATTTGATATGTAATTAATAAACTCTTTCAGCACTCTTTTCACCAGAAACCCTATCAATTTCATAGACTTCTGCAACTATTATCGGCTTAGTTACATATTCAGTTTTAAATGCAACGTTCAATTTAACGAAAGCACATATTTGGCAATAAAGGAGTTGGACAATTACCCACTGCTGTTGAATTTGTACAACAATATCTAAATCCTGATATATTTTAAAGCATTTTATGCTTTCCTTATGATAACCTCTTTTCTTCGTATTCTAACTCTTTATGCAATAATGAAAGAATATGCTGAATTTCAAAAAATGTAACGTAATGAATGAAAATGAAAGATGAGATTTTATATTTTCAAAAATATCATCCTTTTTATAAGCATCGATATCATTATGAAGTTCAGTAAATAAATCAAGAAAAGTTGAAAGCTTAGAAAAGTTTAAATTTAATATCAAGGTGGAATCAACGCTCACCTCACGTCCTTCTTGTATCCATTGTTGTTGTTCTGATTCAATCAGTCCTTCAATTTTACACTCATCTACCACCATCGTCTTATTGATATAACCATATAATACAGCATAGAGTTCGGGTATCATTTTTGGAGTCAAACAGAGACAGAATAAAGGTGAAAGAAGCTGACAAATAGGAAAATACAGCGCTGTGGCATCTTCCGGGAAGTTAAATCCATGAAAACGGCTTTCCGATATCCGGAAACCATTATCCTGATATAAATTTAATGCCGTATACAAAATTTCTAGTTGTTTTTTCATCACACCAGTGAAGAAGAATCGTGAAAATTCATGCATCGGGGTGGAACTGATTTCTTGAGCATCGTAGATCAGTCGATAGCACAAAATATTATGAAATATAAAATGTCGAAAAAATGACTTCTGCAAAACAGTACTACTACGCCCTTCCAAATGAGCACAGTGATATGTTGTAAAAGCTATCGTTGCCTTAAACTGTTGCAAATTCATTTGTATGCAACTTAATCGGAATTCATCACTCGGCCAATTTGCAAATGGATTTACGGCTCCGTCTAATGATTCCTCCAAAATTTGACTTAACTTGCTGCAAAAAGTAGAAGTCTTCAGGGTTAATAATTGAAATCCGCAGAGAAGTAGTCGCAAATTAAGAAGCAAAGATTCTTTCAAATCGTTTTGAATAAGCTGCTCAATCAAATTTCGAGCATCTTCATGATTATCGTTAAAGTTCAATAACATCACAACGGTATTTACAATACCATTAACAGATTGTGGTACAGATGGTGGATATCGCGAAATAATTGATTCTACTGCACCATCCCAATCGTAGCTATTTCGCTCTAATTCAAGAGGCCATATAAAGTGTGAGAAATATGGCTCACCACTTCCTTCATCTTCTAAACCAGTATATAAAGCCAAAAGCATTCGAGGCACAACATCATCCAATCGTATTGGTAAATTAGTATACAAATATAGATTTGTCTCAATAAGCATGGTCAGAAAACTGCAACTTGGAATGATTTTTATATTCCTATCATATGTTGAACCCGATTGATACGATGGAATTTCAAAAAAATTAACAAGCTTCAGAAGCTCATCGTGATACCACTGCCAAGATGTCGTACTTGACGAAGGTTGATCAACATCATTCCAACATTTCGTGTTCGTCAAATCAACCACAAAAGGATCATTTGTAAAAGAAGATTCATTCAGAGGATAAATTTGAGCACAATCCGTTCCTACCAATGGTATTTTCTGTAATGCATGTACAGTTACACTGTTAGCTGCAACTGCAGCCGACGGTTGAGGTTCTCGTGAGCCATCAACAAATTCGTTTGTATCCATACCTTCGTGATTTGCTGTTGTACCATTTTGCGTCAATAATCGATGTATCTGTCTGAAAGGGAAAGATAATAATCATGTAGGTTATACTGTAAGTAATTCCGAAATATTTTGAATTCCACGAATCAATATTTTTATGCCAAAATCTTGAAATAACATAAAAGACTCTTCCCAAGAGAATAATATTTATAAAACCAAGATAATAATAACTAAATATAATTAATCAAGACTCGAAACTAACCTATCAATACTTTCTTCTACGTTATTGTTTGAGCTGGTTTCGTATTTCACGGATGCTTGAAAATCTATTGGATTATATTCATGTGACTGCTTTCTGAAAAAATTCTTTCAAAACTCTTCTCGAAAAACAAACAGATCTCTATCTTTTATAATAAGAGTTTACCATAAAACTTATCGAAGTTTCAATGATAGGATTGTTCTACGATCATAATGTATACAACGAAATTTAAAAACAACACAAAAAAGATAAGCGTATTATTCATACATAATTGCACTTAATTCATCATATCAGCCCTGAAATGTACTATGTACATATAGAAACGCACTAAAGATATTTTTCAAAGTAATAAATAAGACTCTACTACTGAATATCCTATTCCTTGAAATATCCTATTCTATAGAAAATGTTGTCCGATGCTATTTCAAACTCATTACAACTAGAGCAATGTAAAGTAAGCAACATACTGTTACATTATTTGCAAAAGAGTGGCAGTGTTAAATAAATAAGTGACGAAGATAACAAATATCAGCAAAAATAAAAAAGGACAGGAAAAAAATTAACTGGAGCGAGTCGGGCAAGAATGGTTCCACAAATTTCATTGCAGAATAGAATGAAAATCTCGGAACATAAGGTAACGAGTTTGACCTCAACTTTTTCAACGTATTTCGCTCCCTAACAAATCGTCCCTTCAAACAATTCCAACGTTCACGACATTTCTCACCTGCAACATCTATCATTTATGATGACTGGTGCTTTTGATACCATGAGGAAAAATCAGATTCAGTAGGGAGAGGAAGCGAGAATTGAGATTATCTAGTACTTCAACATCCAGATAACATCAATAACAAAAATAGAAATGAGGTAGCAATAGATAATCAACAAGCTCTTTTCTCCTAAGTAGTCTTCATCTCAGTCCCAAAAGATCAAATATGCAGAAGTTACAAATTATTAAATTTGTAGCACTTTACACTTGCCTTTTTTTGCATCTGATATATTGAATAACACAAGTCTTGGGTAACTTTTCGGAATATCATTAGTGGTTTTCTCGACAGCACGACGGAATTCCTTACACGAACACAAAGCTATGCCCAATTAACTGCTAAATAACTTCGGCAGTATTTTCTAGTTTCAGTTCCTTAATTTCCGCGAACATAATCAAAAAATCTGATTTAATTTCAATTATTTGAAAATGAAAGAGATGACTGTTCCACTACTAACTAAATGACAATATAACCTGTAGTTTTATAGCCCATTGCTTGAAGCTTCTTCGATACTTCCTCCCATAATTCTACCCTCGATCGTCCTTTTTTGTAATGTTTATTGGATGGATCATACAAATATGGTGAATTGCGAACTGTGTCAATTAAAGCATGATTATAATCCTTAAATTCCATTCTGAAAATAAAGGAAAAATACTTTAATCATAAAAATTGTCTATTTTTGACTAAGAAAATGCAACATGTCTACAGTTAATCAGGATTAAGGGCAACAATCCGAGAACTATAAATTGAATTCTTGAAAATATTGGCAAATAAACAAAATAATCATCGAAATGTTGATGAGTATTGGAAAAATTGAGAAAATCAAAGTGACTAGAACTCTAATATCCTGAAAAAAATTCGATCATGGATGAAATGATTACTGCAAACAGACGAAAAAAAAGAAAAGTAATATGCTAATTATAAGCATTCACTCAACTAAAAGCTGCGTAACAAATGCACACCTCAGAACACGTGGTGCGGTGATTAGAAGCAGAAAATGTTACGTGCAAGGAAAAATATTTTCGCAATGCAAACTTCAACTAACTTTCATACTTACCGCCAATCAACTTCATTAGCCTACATCAAAAAATCAAAAACCGTGGAAACGACAATGAACGATCGACAAAGATTTGACGGCCTGAAGCGATGTTCTTTATGTAAATAAACTGTCCCATAGTTAGCTATTTCCATTTCTGGAAACGTTAGACATTATCTAACTTTCCAAATAGCGACGCGAGGAAATTCTATTCTTTACCTATTGAAAGTAATTCATTTGTCGAATTTTCCTAAACATTATTAAGATTTTGTTAACGTAATAAATTGCAAGGTATGTAAATCGGAACACATATGAAGATGTGATGGATTTTTAGACATTATCTAACTTTTCTCGAACTTGTAATTTAGTTGGTATGATAAAATGTGTTGGTAAAATGAACCAAAGCTAGGAATTTATTGTTGTTGTGAAACTTATGGCACTTAATATTAAAAAATGCTTAGAACGTGTCATTACCACATGTTATACGTGGCTCAAGTTTAATGTGCATTTTTATTTTATGAATAGTTAATTGATAAATTTGTAGGTGATGGAAATTTTATTTCTTTATCAACAAATTGATATTTGTCCGTTCTAACGGAAGAACCGATTGATATTAAAGTGATAATGAAGGAAGATAAGGACCCAGTGAAGAAAACTCTTTTACGACGTCGCAGTGATCCAACTTCAAGCCATATTGGCGCAGTTGATGGGTAATCATCTTTTTTCTTTTTAATACTATTTACTATGGGGGAGGGAATTGCTTATCTTTTTTATCGGATGTTTTGAGCCAGACATCTCAAGACTGAAGTTCGAGAACTCACAAACATAACCAAGAGTACCCTTTCCATCCTCATTCGTTTTAATGGATGCCAATATTATGATTTTTAAAAATCATTTCGATTTTACACATGATAGTTTGTAAGAATTGACAGAATCAGGGAAAGAAGGACCGCAATATTTATTTCAATTCATTTTTTGCATACTTTTATACTGGACAGCATTTCTTATTTTTATTTGACATTGCAGAATATTTTATTTCATACATTCTTATTACACGATATGCATACTTGTGTCCATCCGCACGTCTTTTCTCCGTCACATTTATATATTCCCACACACACGCATCCAGCCATACATATATAGAAATACGTAGATTTTTTACAACAGCACAAACGTTTTTACTACTTAACATTATTCTCCATTAGTTATCAGTCTGATGATATAATCCAACTTTTCATTTTTTTCTAATCAGTATTAGCCTTAGAGAGTAATCAATATTAGGGAGTAATCAATCAGTATTTTTTCTAATCAGTATTAGCCTTACTTGATGATAAAAGACGTAATTTTTCCATAGTTACCTTAGAATTTTCATCTCGAAATTTCGTACCTTGGTTTTAACTGAAATTTTAAAGCGATCTTAACTGTTGCAGGTTTGTGGCAGCTGAATTACCATGGGGTTCCTTGAAAGTAGTTATTATGACTGGTGTTGATTTTGCATCGCCACCAGGCCATTTTGCTGTCAAGTCATTATTACAAGAATTATTCACCGTTTTTGATCGTAAAATTCATTCTATCGAAGATGGAGACATCGTAAGTTTTATCTGCTTATTCCACCATTTTTTGTAACTTAACTGTTCAAAATTTTTGCGGACTATCCGTGACATCATGGTCAGTCACTACATTTCATTTCGTTGCTAATAACTCTTAACTTTTAGTCATGTAATTGGATGTATATGTTTTATTTGTATTTTTTTTCACTCAATATCGTTCACATTTTTCCTCCTTTTTTGGTTTTTTTTAGTTTTTTGAAGACAGTAACAATCATTACTGTACTCTTAAATACATGAATGAAATTATAATGACAATGAATTTGTAATCCGTTCTTTAAATTCATAACGATTTTTTGCTTTACTGTTTCTTAAGTTTTACATTTTTGTTATAGGAACGTAATATTAACAAGACTCTTCAAAATGGGGACAACACTTATATTGAAAATCTTCTACGAGTTTTGAACATGCTTTGCGAACATTGCTTGCCGTCTATTCTTGCAACATTAATCACTTGGTATGAGAAACAGCTTAAACGTTTCGAGGAATTGAGGTAAACTGTTCAGTCAATTAAAACTTAATAGTGACAATCTATTTTATAAAAGATTCGATGCAGTACTGTCAAAAATTTTTTGATTTTCATTATATATTTTACAAGTTTATGTTTGAACAAATCTGTATATTTTGTTCATCGCGTTAATTAGTTATATAAATGAATACTTTTGATTGTATCACCTTTCTTTAAACAGCGGTAATTAATTAAATTAAGTGAATTCTTCATTTTCTGTGTTGCCAAGTTTTCTTGAAATTACAGTGAAAGAACCGCGAAATCAGATGAACAACGCTTAACAATCAATTATTTGTTTTGCGTCGTATTAATTGAAGTTTTGCCACAGCTACACTTTTTCCCCACCATTTGCGATAATTCCGTATCGTATATTGTGGCTTTAGCATTTGACGAAGTTGCATATCGTGAACTGTACGTTTTATGAAATATACGGAAATCTCTTCCTTATTTAAAGGAAGCTAAATTCAAACTTAAGAAAGTCAAGTGACTAAATTTATATAAGTTAAGTAGTCGCGTGATGATTTTCAGTCATCATAGTGGTAAGTTAATAATAAAGTTGTGAAATAATTAATAATAATGAATTAGTAAGTAAATAATTAAATTCAATCCAACAAGGTTGCACTCAATCTGATGTGTGCATCAATGCTAGCTCTTCCTATTTGGAGTTTTTAATATCCATTTTATTATCTTGATATTGGGATATAAATTAATATACTCGTACTTTCTGGTGGTTTGATCGGTTTCTATTATCACTAGCTCGATTTTCTGTCAATTTCTAATCAATAATTTTATTTCTTTTGTGAATTTTTAGTTCAATTTTTGGTTCAAATTACAACAATTACTTACTGGTAGCCGAACGTTATGCCGAGGTCCTCGGTGTTTTGTCGCATACACATGCAGTTCTAATACAGCGAACATTTCTTAATATACTAGATGAACTCCGGAAGGAGAATCCAGTGACTGCATTTAATATGAATTGTATAATAGCCTTGCTAATGGCTATGAAATTCTATAGAATAAAGGTAAAGTAATTTTTCTAATTTACAAATGAGTAGATAATATATGTTGCTTAGTTTTCAAATATAAATATGATGTAGTTAGGCTTTATTTTAATATATAGTTCCTTTTCACTGCATTTTAGACCGGTGACGTCGCCGAGTTCGAAATTGGCGTACGTTTCTTGGATGAACTTGGACAATATTATTTGGATGTCAAACAAAAGGATATCAAACATGCAATTGCGGGATTGTTAGTTGAGATTCTTCTTCCAGTTGCAGCCGTAAGTTTGTTTATTTTATTTGCATACGAAAATAAATTTTTGATTTATTGATTATTTTTACGGATAATGGTTTTATCCATGTTTCTTTATTGTTGAATTTATATAGAAAGTATAACTGGACATTCTCAATAAAACTTTCTCTCTGTTCAAATGTTTATCATTGTTTTTCCAATTTAATGTGTGTATGAAATTAAGTGAGAAGCTAAGTAAATTCACTAATTTACATGACAATTTAAGTCAGGTATGCTAATCGAAAGTCAGATACTTTGTTTTAACAGTTTTATCGATAAGGCTTGGAAATTTGAAAATTTCTAAGTTTTCAGCAAATCAAGACAGAAGCAAATATACCTGCGGTAATATCATTTGTTGATAAGCTTTATGCACCTACATTTGAACTGGTTAATAAAAAACGCGATAAAATGGTACGAGTGATTATTTTCATCTTAACACTTTTTCTAAATGCAATTTATTTAGTATGGTTAAAAGACCCGTTATTTCCACATTTTAAAATTTGTGCGTCATTCGTTTTGTTGCAATTATTTCTTCAAAATGAGATATATTTGCAATAAATGATAAGTGTATTTCAGGCAGCATATCCATTGCTGACATGCTTATTGTGCATTAGCCAGAGTAAATTTTTCTTGATGAATTGGGCACAATTTCTCAATTCTACATTAGCAAGCTTGAAAAACAAAGATCCGAAAGTATCCAGAGTTGCGTTGGAATCTTTATATCGCCTCCTCTGGTACGTATTTTTGTTTGTTTCTAAGATATATAGGATTCATGCATGCAATTTTTTTTTGGATGATTTATTTTATAGGGTATATGTGATACGGAATAACTGTGAAGGTAATACAGCCACGCGAAATCGATTGGAATCAATTTGTAATTCATTGTTTCCGAAAGGTAACCGAGCTGTGGTACCGCGCGATGCACCGTTGAATATCTTCGTTAAAATTATTCATTTTATAGCACAGCAAAAGCTTGATTTTGCTTTTAGGGTATGTTAAATAGTCGACTTGTAACTTTCTGATTTTGATATAATGCATCATTCATATTAGCATTCTAATACTTTTCTTTCCGTGATGATCACTACATTTAGTATACATTTGAAATAATTTGACCGAGACATATCGATGCATTTTTAAAGCATGAGATCATTAGTATAACTGCGTCGGTTTCATTAAGAGATAGAATTAAAACTTCTTTAAATCACTTTTTCAGGAAATAATTTTCGATTTGTTGGGTTGCAACAGGGCGCACAATGTATTAAAGAGTTCGATCTACCCAGAACGTATGAATATTGGGATACGGGCATTAATGGTTATAGCAAATAGCCTGCAACAGAAAGAGGGACCACCTGATATGCCACGTTCAATGGGTAAGGAAAAACTGCTGATAACAAATTATATCCCATTTTCTGTCTGTATCAATTTAGTTAAAATGTGTTACATTTCAGCTCTGAGCTCCTCCCAAAGATTGAAGAAAACATATATTTCCCGTCCTTTAACAGCTGAAATTGCTCGATCAATTGGCATTGAGCTGTATTATGCACCATGTAGACGAGCTTTTGATTCTATTCTAAGAGCATTGGATTCACAAGTCTGTTATCTTAACTTCACTTTGTTCGAATCGTTCTATAATACTTATTCATCTAGAATATATTCAAAACCATTTTTTCGTAGATTGTATACGATATATGCGGGTATTTAGTTAGTTATTCATTTCGAAATTTACTGTTAAATAGCGTTGATTTAAAGAACACTGGAGTAAGAATTAGGAATTATGTGTTCTAGTCATTAATTATTGTGTTGCATGGTAATTTGCAAAAGCGTAGACTATCTTACAGGTTGGAAAGCCGTTAATGATGACTACCGCACATGCTCGAGGGAAAGAACCAGAGGAGCTATTAACGTAAGTTAGAACTTCGAAAAAACTGCATTATATTTCTGATAGTGATTTAGCTTCAACTATTTTTGATGATACAGCGTTATTGGGTGACACATTTGAAATGAAATTAGATTTCAGGGGCGACGTGAAACCTAAGTTGGATTTATATCGGACATGCATTGCAGCGATTCCACGCCTTCTTCCGGAATCAATGAGTCATTCAGTATGCAATCCCTGAATAAATTTTCTGGGAGGACATAAGAAGCCTCTGCACATAATAATTACTAATAAATTGAATAGAAACCAATAAATTCTTTTTACTTATTTATTGCAGTAATTTTCCTTCATTTCACCATCTCAGTTTATCAAAATATAATGAATTTCATATATCACGTTTAAGTTTTTTATGTTATTCATAAAAATAATATATGTTTATTTTGATTTTTTAAGGAGCTTGTCGAATTATTAGTACGAATGAATGTGCACATCGATGAAGAACTCCGAGTACATGCTGCACAGACGTTGCAAACGCTTATGAGCGAATGTGCAGAATGGCGTGAAGATATTATCCATTCCTTCCTTAATTATATGACAACTCAGTTTTCTGTAAGACAAATCTTAGTTTTCTTCGAATATTGATTGAGAATCTAGGAATTTATATTCTTTTCTCTGCCAATTCTTATTTACAGCTCTCTCATTTAGTTCTTATGTTAAGTCTGAAATCCTTTATTTCAATTCTACTTTATGGCAGATACAACGTTATTTCAAAAATCATACTTTACAACTATAAAACAAATTTGAGTTTACTGTTAATACGTAGGAATTCACTAATCTTTTCAGAACGAAAAGCTCTGTAAAATACGACTAACTCTCCTTCCTTAATGACCAAAATTTACTGAATTTAATATCTTTTTGCAGGACACATATCCACTTCTACTTGATTCATTATTACGGCTTTTATACCAGTTATTGTTTACATGGAAAACGGCTGCATATATGGAAAAGAAACGTGAGATGAACGGTGATTCCGAGCGAGATAATGGTTTTATTAATCCTCTAAGGTAGAGTATTTTAATTACTTTTGGAGAAATTGCATAGAGAATTCAGACATTGAAATTTGCTGCAATAAGATTACATCTCTAGTAAATTTCACATAAGGCTGTCGGTTAGCGTAGTGGGCATTGACTATACTTAAAGGTATAAACTTGCTGAGTAAAAATAATGCAATACATGTTTGAGAACAAAATTATGATTCATTGGACCAGTAAATTAGAAAATTATAAAACTTTTCAGAATGCAGATTTCGCCGATGTTAACAAATTCAATTGCTATCGCGTTGCATGCAGTAGAAGGTTTTGCGCTTGCAATGATGTGTCAGTATAGGATACAATCCAGAAAAATTTCTATAAATATTTTGAAAGAGGTTGTTCAGATTCAAAAAATTTTTCGGCAGCAGTTTTTAAATAAGCAAAATTTATTGCGAATACACACATTTGTAATCTTTAGGTACGGCACTTACTGACGCTTGTAACGTCTCAGCAGCATGATACACCTGTGATTGAGGTGTTAGACAATGCAACGCCCTATGTGATCAATAAATACATCGAGCATGTCCCGCTTTATGAAAGAGTAAATTTTTCTTTATAATTAATCATTATTTTTGCAAATATAGAAGGCGAAAATGAACTGGAAAGGTTAACTGACTTCCTTTTTTAAAATCATTTCTTTTCTTCAAAATCTATATTTTTATTTGCAGCAATCATGGAATCATGATTTTTCATCAGCTTCCGATAAAATTGCATCAATCGAAACAGATAGCTGTTTGGTAGGTTAATCTGTAAAGTTAATGAAATGTATAATAAGATGGGATATTAGCATATGTTAGTCATGTAAAGAAAAAACGCACAGTTGATACAAAAGAAAGTTGCCTTTTGATTGTTTTATCCTAGTTGACTGCTGCATTTTTTTAACAAATTTTCTTAAAGTTTTTGATACGTATATGTTATAAATCTTTGCACTATCCAACTTAGCAATCAATAAGATAAATTAACAGAATATTCAATTTGTATTACAAGTGATTGTAGTGATTCAAGTTATAATTCATGTATTTAATAGCAAGTATAGGTAGTAATTATAGAAAGTTACAGGTGAATAGTGATAGAGGCAACGAATATTTTCGGTGGGATGCATGGGCTTCTGCGCTTTCTGGTTATTGCGAACATCGTTTTCTCT